TACGACCATGCTGTCCCGTAGGGCTGGTCTCTGATATTGAGCGAGAAGATCGTGTCCGGGAGCTTCTCCGGCGAGGTTATGATTGCGCGGTGGATTTGGTACAGGGCTGCTTGGCGTGCCTAGTTGTGTTAACGAAGCTCATGGAGAAGACAGTATGGCTCACGCTCACCTGGAGAAGTTCGGGCGAGAGCCCGTCTGCGTCACCTGAGTGAATGATGTAGAGCTGCCGGTAATACGATTAACAGCAGCCCACTAGGAGGGTTCTCGAGAGTCATTGCGTATCCTCACTTGTCCATCTTTGATCCGCGCTTGGAGAGGCCCTGTGCCTTGCGCTCGCTTCAGCGTGAAGGGGCCGAGAGCAACTGTGGCGTCGAGGTCTTGAGTTAGATCCGGAAACGTAGCTTTACATTGCTGCTCGTTGAGGTTCAGGAACTGGAACAGGTCCGATGGGGATGGATCAGCGGGTATGGATTGCGCGTTTTCCGCTCGTCGGGAACGCGCGAGGCGGCCGAGGTACAGTAAGAGAAAGGATGCAAGAGATATCCACAGTTTCCTTGCACGCGTCGATTGATTTCGGGACATCTTCATATCAGGTACGGGATTGCGTGTGAATCACGAGTCGACGTGCTCGCCATCTCATCGACATCCCAAGGCCCATTGTGCGATGCGCGGCTCGCCGGTTCACCGGCTTATTATCCCGCAAAGCAAGAATTTGGCGATAACACGTCGATCCCGAGCGGGCATTCTGTGCCCCGATAAGGGTCGAGTAGGGTGCGTGTTTATCTAGATAGTCGGGCGGGTGTTCTGGCAAAATGCGGCAAAATGCCTATCTTTCGAGGATCAGTTCCGCGCCATCTCCACCGTGAAATAGATAAATGACTAAGACGGACATCACCACAGTACAGAAAACCTCGACTAGATCACGCGAGAAGCCGCTAATTAGAGAGGACGAAGTCCTCGGTTCGTTTTACGGATGTTTCTGCGTCCACCTGGCGCAACTATTTTTTCGTTGGTATTCCGATGGTTTCCGGCGAGGGTGATAGGGGTCGCCTAGTTTGGAGTAATGCAAAGGCTGCATTTCGTAGGCGAATTCCTCGTCGTCCTCATCTGCCTTCGGCCGTTTCCCTTTTCCGGCTCTGCGGCGTCTACGGACAAAGAGCCCAACTATGGCCACTGGGGCGAGCGCTAGGAACGTTGATATCCCCATAGTGGCCACATCAATCATGCCGCGCTTACGATACCGTGTAGGGGGTGTTGGTTATTGTTATGTAAGACTTGGTACGCGGCCTGCAAGGGAAATAGGCTATTATGTTTGAGGAAGAGAGTCTCGTTATTTATATATAGGCGAACTATATATAGGCGAACTCTATACGGCTCGTAGACGACGCACACCAGTGGAAAGAAAAGGTACACCGGCGGTGATAGAATTAAATTCATATCATCCGAATTTGTGCCAAATTCAAGGTTCCTTCATTTCTCGGCTAGCATGGGATATCGACATAGCCACATTTTGTAGTTATGCGTAAGGTAATGAATGAAGAGATCTGAGTAGGTTCGGAGTTCGTCACCTAAAGTCATAAAACCTGACGCCTCTATTATCCAACATTACCAAACCATCTGTCACGCCTATTTGAAGCCCTGCCTAGACTTTGAACAAGCTTCGTGTGTCTGATGCCCTGTGTTAACATTTTATGTAACCTTGGTTAGAGACACGTAGCACCGATAGGGGTTCTTGGTAATCGTGTCGTATGAATCCCGCGAGCTCAGTCCATCCGACAATTTGTTGAACTCAAAATTCCACACCAGTAACGCGAGCACAATGCGAGTCTCGAGGTATGCTAACCGTCGGCCGAAGCAGCCACGAGGTCCCAGACTAAAAGCCATCATCGGCCCGCTCTGGGCGTCGTATACCACGTTTCCGTTCTCGTCAGTCTTGAGCCAACGTTCGGGCTTGAACAGATGCATGTCGCTTGGGTCCCAGGATCCGTAGAGCCTCTTCTCGCGCGATGACGGGCTTCGGGTGCTTTCTGCAATAGGGATGGGGGGAGACCGGTAATCGGCGCCATCCGAGACCAGGAATACTGCGGTGCCCTTCGGGATCTTGTGTCCTAGGAGCTCAGTGTCGACGAGAGCCTCTCGCAGGGTAATTGGGATTGGTCCGTCTTGACGTAGACATTCCTCGAGGACGGCATCGAGATACGGAACCTGTGTCTTCCATAATTCAACGACATTCGGTTGTCGTCCCTCGGCATGCGCTTCCGAGTACGCCGCGCGGAGAGCCGACCGCAATTTCTTCTGGGCATCAGGATTATCTGCCATGTTTTTAACCATCCCTGAAAGCGGTCAGCACGATTTCATCCACCCCAGCCAAAAGGGTTAAAGGTGTAAGGGCCGGGGTAAAACCCACACGTTAGCGCAGAAGCACTGGTTTCATGGCCAGCTACGATCTGAGTTATAGAAACGTGTTAGCCGAGATATCTAGGTGCAACATAGAAATTGCCAGAGTAGGCGGGACAGGGAGACTCAGGGATAGCCACGGGAAGTTTTGATACGCACATATCCAAAAAGCTAGAGAACAGTCAATAATAAGCCCTCTTGTTTAGGAGCTAGTTCACTCACCTCATCATGGATTCGCGGTGAATGGAAAATAGGTTCTCGTCCCGCTTTCTCGGCCGCATTCATTTCCCGCTGCAGAATATGGTCCATAGCCGACCGCGTCCCACTCTCGCCCTTGCGAAGGCGCACTACAGCCTTATCAATCTCGTCACGAAGGAACTGATCTTTCCGAGCAATGCTTTTCGCCAATGTCGGGCTCGTCCAGAGCGCGTAGCGGTGAGCCAACTTTGGGAACGGGGCCTTGAATTGTTCTCCGAGATGCACGCCGATCTCCCCAATGGCTGCCATAGTAGGTAAGGTGGGAAGTTCTGGGAACATGACGCTACCGTCGGCATTGGGCGTGGGCCTGAATTCCGGCGTCGAAAGCAGGAAGTCGATCTGGTTCTTAACGGTGCTCTGGTCGTCTTCTAAGCCGAAGGCCACTGCGTTGATGATATCTATCGCGGCATCAAAGATATCCTTACGTGCGTTGAAGGGTTTGCTTTCTCCCAGCTTGGCCTTGAGACTCCAAAGGTCGACGAGAGCCATTGCTTTATAGTAAATTTGCGGCGCGGAAACCTACAAAGACGATAAGCTTATTTCCTGTTCATATTAGCTGGGATATATTACCTCGTGTAAGAAATTAGGCGTCATCAAGTCCCTTACTAACTCTCTGTTTCCCTTGAAACGAGGATCTGCCGACGGCATAGCGATGTGGTGATTCGGGACTACGCCATTGAAGGCATTGGTGTTCCACGGACCTCGGTCGAACTCACGAGTGCGTCTTAGCAAGATATCCTGAGATTCACGGAAGTCCGAGAGGATCAAAGAGGGTTTCGTGAACGGCCCCATCCAGACTTGGGTGAGGGCGGACTGATGTCGCTGGGGATGTTCTGTGAAGAATGGTCGTGTTTTCCCTGTGTCGCGAAGCATGGCGACCATCTCGGGGAGGTTTCCGAAGAGGTTGTTTCGTGCGCTCTCATCATAAGGGATACCGGGAAGAGGCTTCGGCAAAGCCCAACGATAGGCGAGATATAACGCTGCTGAGATGGCAACAACGAAGAAGAGAACATTGCCTATACTCAGGCTTACTGGAATAGGAGGCGCCATGTTGGCTGGACGAGGGTTCAAGTGTGAAATGGCCTTGAATATTGAAGTATTAGAAACAGTCGACAGACGTCGACTTAAACTACTTATACAGAGCACCTTGGGAAGCGAACTTGTCAGTAGTTAGAAGCTCGGACCAAAGTTGGTATAACACTCCAACGTTATGAAACCACGTGGATCCCCATGGATAGACTGCGTCTAACAGTCACCGAACAAGTTATTTTTGGTGGTGCCCGCGGGACCCGAATTATCTAGACCGTTTAGGGTTACTCAGGACGCGAGACAGAGAGGCGGCTGTTTATCACAAGAGAATTCAATAGAGACTAGTTTTCACAGCCTCATGGAGTGGGCTGCAAAGGATGGATGGTCGCAACGCTTTCTCAGTAACACATCTCCTAGCACGTATGTACTACGCGTCGTCTAGTGTATGAGATATCAATTCCTCCGCTATTGAGCTTTCAGAGAAGAGATACCTAAGACCGCCCACGTAGTACTGCTCTAGAATCAAGGAGAACTGGGATATACCGCTAGATTCTCTATGATGTGGAGATGAATGACGAAACTAGTCAGTGGCGTATCGCGCCGGCACAATTCATAAACCCGGCCGTCAGGCGGCGAGAATAATGTCCCCGGTCGGCTCCAAGGAGTGCAGGGAAATAAAACGGGCTTGGATTCTCTATTCTAGTCACTCCTATCAATCGGATATCATGTAACTATCCGACGGAACCACCATACTAGGTCGCCGTCCCACCCAGACGGGACGAATCCAGGTGACTAGTCGACGGGTCAAGATATTGTAGGTAGTGTATGATCGGCCTAAAAGTTAATAAAGTTATAAAAAGTGTATAGACCTTCTACCTAGTCGAGAGCAGGGAAACCCACGTTGAACTTGATAATCCGTCGTGTTTACGATAGGCCAGGCCATCTTGACAGAGCAAGGTAGTGTAGTAGATAGAATTGAGCGCCGTTTGATAATCCGTAATTGGTTAGCGTTCAAATTTCGCAGCGGCTCAACAAAACGAGCTTTGAAATGATGCTGAAGCATTACGCCAAGCGGAAATCATGACTCTATGCCAAGACTGAGTCTTTTTTGCTCTTATCTCGGATACATATGAATGGTTGCGACACGCGGCACGCGACCTCGGGGTCAATGTAGAAGTCCGGATCGGCATGTAACTTTGGGGGGTGGAGAGAGGAACCGAGAAAAATTAAATCTATGGGGTTAAGAGATTTGGAAGGAAATGTTGAAAAAGATAATGGTAGTGAGTAAAGGGGTGGTGACAAAAAAGAAAAGAATCCTCCGAATCGGGGAATCGAACCCCGGGCTTGACGGTTCCTTCTTCATCTGAACGAGGAAGTTTGAGAGCGTCAAATGTTAGCCACTACACCAATTCGGATTGATTGTTAAAGAGTGCTGATATGAACATCTATATCGTTGAAATAATATCGGCGCGTAACAGATGTAGGTAACGGGTGTGGTAAGTCCCGTAAGTAAGTAATCGGCACTTACGCTCGCACCTTGTCTACCTCAATATCACCACAGTCTGCTTTTAGCTCGAACCCAATCCCATCAGCAACATTTTATTTACATTAGATCAAATATGATGTTGGTTTTTTTTTTTTCGAATGTGAATGCGTATCAGCCAAGCTAAAAACGCCGGTTAACAGCTACCTTAGGTAGTTGGGAAGAAAAAGCTTATCAGTCCAAGCCATAGTACTGACCTGACTATCTACGGAATCGGGTCTTGCGGAACCCGTCAGATGCGATCTAGCCACTGTATTTAAAGAACCGGACAGACTCTATCCGGTTGTGATACGTACACCCCTTTCTACTCACCACATCCGAGAGGCACTACCCGAATGTGGCCGATAATGTCATCATCACCTGCACTCGCCTTTTTTTTTTGACATGCTCTACACGACAGGCTGCCATTGAAGCATACACCATGGCAGACTCACGCACTAAATCACAGCTAAAACAGAAAATTACTACCGAAGACAATTTACCTTGCTATATAGCTAGTTTAGCATGGCTGGCAAAGATATCCTAAAGTACTGTGTACAAAACGAACGCTATACACAGAGCTATCTCCTGCCACAGCATAGGAAGTAGGAGAGGAAAAGAAACGGTGAGAGGCGCGAATGCGAACACGAGACGAGACAAAAAAAAAAGAGGGAATAAGAGAACTAAACGGCTGATCCTCGCTCCGTTTCTAAGTGGTACTAAAGCCATACTATTCCCATCATTGCGCTATACGACAAGATGGTAGCCGCCTCCAAAAGATATGCTCAAATCCCACAGCATATCTTGCAGGTACACCCAAGACAACAATTGGTAGCCCCTACCCCGGCCTCCTTAACAACCCCCTTAAGACGCTGTCCGAAGGATAAGGGCGCATCGTGGTCTTGAATGACAGTAACCCTATTGCCGGCCGCGTCGCGGCCTGTGGCGGACGATATATTCGGGGCGGTGACGAAATCTTCGAGGACGCGTGGTTTAGGAAATTCCAATGATGGGAGGGGTGGCGGGGGCCGGGTGACTACGCCTCCGGCAGTGGTGGAGGCAGGCGGAGGGGCTGTGCCCTGACTATTGCTGCGTGAGTTGGTGGAGCGATATAACGGTGTCCCTGGGACCTACCTAGCGGCGCTGGCGCCAGATGTACTAGAGCTCATAATGGACGGTGAGTATGATTATATCGCGTAGTTTTGTTCAAGAGATATGAGACTGATAGCGGGTATCTAAGCTGAAATATTGCCAAGACATGAGATGATTGTTCAATGATGGTGGATTTTGAAATCTAAAAGTCGGACTACGGGGTTTCTCGCAGCCTTGCTTATTTATACATTTATACAATATGACAGCCGATTGCCCTCCCAACTCTGAAACTCACATAGCGACGCGAGCTGGTCGCGAGGCTGTGAAAGTGACAGGTTATCTTGATCAAGCGCCATCTCAACGAGGAAATTTCTGAGAATGCCTGATTGCTTCGTGGGTAGGAGACACTCAAGTGTACAGGAGATGATTGTGTCTGGATTATTGGCTAAAGTACTAAGGGCTGAGTTTTGTTAGATATGATCCGATGGTTTGGGATGTTTGATATCGTCCAAGCGAGGAGTAGCAACGGAGAGTGAAAGCAATTACACATCTCAGCGTATGGTTTTCAATCTCACGGAATGTGCACGATCGATAGTCTAATTGAAGACGTTAATGGTGAATGATAGGCGGTGGTATCATTTCAGGGTATATACCAACGACTTCACGATAGAATGAGAGGGAGCATCACAGCACAAAAGGGGCAAGCATACACAGAGATGGCATGCAGGCTAACCAGGTGTCCAAAAAGGGCCGAAAGAGCGACTATAGTTGCTGGAACATTAGACTCCAAGTTCGATGTATCGTATGGTTATCAATCACCAATGTGTTGTAGTACAGTTGATAGAATATACCGAAGCGAGAGCACATCCGTGGCTTTTCCCAAGCGAAGTTACTACAGTATCACTTCTTAACCTATCACTCTCGCTTCGAGTCTAACAGACGACACACTTCCCATGATATCGTATATGCTGCCTTCGAATACACCACAGCATGGTAAAACCATAGAGCAATCAAGCAACTTCCCAGGGCCCCGTCCTTGCATTGCTTCACGGTCAGACTTCACAACATATGAACCACGTGCAACAACTACTCGAAACAGCGACCGGTTCTAGACTCGGTCGTAATACAGGGAGGGTATCGGACGACATATTTGGCAGGGTAAACAGAAGTCTCCTATAACTCTATTGGATTGGTTCCACCGAGCAAGAATCGAGATATTTCAATCGTTGCGTGCGAAAATACTCGGTTCGGAAGTGAACGGTCCCTATAAGAGTGAGTTAATAGCTAAGCCGATGTCCACAATGCGAGTGTAAAGTTCACAATCCCTAGGTTCTCGCTCCTTGCCCGTAGACTCGCGCTCCCCCTTGCATTGCATTGAGATCTAGGCAGTGTATTATGAACTTATGCTATATAAACAAATCAGCAGCAGGCAAGTGAAGGGAGGACAGCTCTTGTGGTAGGCAGGCAGTATTCTCGTTACGATCCTGATAAGCGCAGCAGCGCGATGAACCTAGGCACGGCACAGTCTCATAAAGTCGTGGCAAGATACTCCTTACCATACCGTCGGCCCTAACTACGCCTCAAGGCAACGCAATCGACGCATAATCCCTTCATCCGACGTAAGTGTCTAAAGTCCATCGTCGCCGGGGTAGATAGTCGACAGGTGAAGAAATCGCGAGTACACGTGCCCGCGCAAAACGCAAACAACGCTCCTGCTCTGCGGTTTCATAATACGACCACACACTCCTAAGATCCAAGCATCCAGAAAGGGCAGGCAATTCCTCCCCAGTTCCCAGATTTGAACTCCCAAGGGGACGCAAGGGGCAGAACCCTAGCAGACAACAACGAATTGGCGCCGCCCATCATGGAAAGTCCGAGTATGGTCAGTCTAGACCATACCTAACCGCACCGTCGGAGTTGTCTTTCCCAGGAGTAACGAAGTGGTTTGCATGTTATTTTGTTAGTATAAGTCACCTGACTACAGATTCTAGGATTCTGGTACAACCAACCTCATAATTTAGGTAGTCATATTTTAAAAATCAAATCACAGAATAGCGAGAATTTAAGGGAAACTGCGAAACGACGCCTTAAAGAAAGTACCCAACCATGTATATTGGACTTTGAAGGGTATACGATAGGCAACAAAACCAAGGTACATCAATAAAAACACACTTCCTTCTACCAAAGCCTATTCGGCATCACCATTTCGTCACCCATGACAGATCCTATATCCCTTCGCCGGTCATAACATGTAAGCAACTCTTTCCGATTCATTCAGTCGTCATCAAGCCGTCTCCCATTCCCCTGCCAAAGTCCTCATCATCGAATTACAGTTTGCGTAACGCCACCGCCACCGAGACCACCAGGTCTTGTTACCGCATTACGGACAATGAAGTCTCGGTTCTCGATCGTTACGCTCTTGGTCATATGATTGACCTTATACACGCCCACCAGGCGAGCGGCGAGTTCGAACATGTTGTTTCGGAGAGAAATAACGATGAACTGGGCGTTCTTGGTACGTTCCTTAATATAATTGGCCACAATCGACACCTAGGCGTAGTCCTGTTAGTTGGCTGTTCCTTGAATGAAGGATGAGAAATAGGGATTGTAACTTACATTCCGGAAGTCCAAGGCAGCGTCAATCTCATCCATCACATACAAGGGAGTAGGCTTGTAGTGGTGCAATGCAAACACAAGTGCTAAACTCGACAGAGTCTTCTCACCACCGCTGAGGTTGCTGATGTTTTTCCAGCTCTTCTTCGGCGGCATGACTGAGAACAAGATACCTTCGCTGAAAGGATCTAAACTGTCCACAAGCTCGAGTTCGGCATTACCACCCATGGTGATCATTTGGTACATCTCCTTCAAACGGAGTGAGATAGCGCTGAAGCCTTCCATGAAGCCCTCTAAGCGAAGACGACGGAGATCATCACATCGCTTTTTGGCCGAGTCGCGTTGCTGCACGGCGCTAGCGAGATCGGAAGAACGGGCGCTATGCTCTTCGACGCGACGGCGGTATTCTGCAAGGACGCTGACGTCGATATTGACGTTTTGGGTCTTTTCTTCGAGAGCGGCAATCTCGGCCTTTAGTGTCTCCTTACTCATATCCTTCAATTCATCCTCAGTGAATCGAGGAAGTTCTTCAGGCTGCTCCGCGGGAGTTTGCTCTTCTTGTTCTTGTTCTTCTTCCTGCCCCTCGCCGTCTGTCTCAGTAGGTTGCTGCGCGCTATCCTCTGTTGGCTTCTTTGTCGGCACGTTGCCCATTAAATCACTGATATTCTGTAAGACTAGCTTGCCTAGCTTCTCATTCCAATAACGTAAGCGCTTCTGGTTTTCGACAAGAGCCTTTTGGTTCTCCTCGAGCTGATTGCGCATCTCGATCTCGGATGCGCGTGTCTCGTTGAGTTCAGATGTTTTTTCATCCAATTCAGCCTTCATAGAAGCAAGCTCCTGCTTTTTCTCTCGTAGAGTCTCTTCAGCAGCCTCAACTTGGGCGTTTAGGGACTCCGATTTAGTTCCCTGGTTTTCAATTTCCTCTTCAAGCTGTTCAAGATCCTTGGCCGCAATCTCTAATTCCTTGATAGCTTTAGCGTGATCTTTTTGAAGCTTTGTCTTTGACTTCTCAGCCTTAACTTTCTTCACTTCAGCATTAGAAGTTTCCTCGTTATGAGAGGCAATCTCTTCCTTGATGGAGTCGACCTTTGCCCTTTGAGCTCGGAGCTTTTCACCACCAACTTCCATGATCTTGTCTTGCAACTCCTTGATCTCGGCTTCCAAGCCCTCAGTTTCGGCGTGGAGCTT